TTGGACATGAAGTGACCTCTGAAGGCCTAAATCCACAAAAGAAGAAAGTGGAGGCCGTGATGAAGTGTAAAACACCTCCCAACATCAGTGACGTGAGATCATTTGTGGGTGTGATGAATTACTCACCTACGTTTATTGATGACTAGGCAGAAAATCAGGAAACCTTTATTGACATTACTAAAGAAGAATATACCATGGACATGGGGGGGGGCTCAGGAGCGAGCCATGAATGAGCTGACAAGGAAACTCACCCAAGCCCCGTGCCTGGCTTATCCAGAAGGAGGAAAACCCTTCTATCTGGGAACTGGATTCACAAACCTCAGTATCAATGCTGTACTGGATCAAATACAAGACAATCTGAACAAATCATTGCCTATGCCAGTAATTCCCTGTCACCTGTACAAATCACATCCAATGACTGTGAGAAAGCATTACTAGCCACAGTCTGGGCCCTTCAAAACTTGACTCATACTAGACTCATACACTTTACCAACCAATCAGCGACTGCTGCCCCTCTCTGCCAATCCCTTCACTGACTTCCACTAACCCAACATATAAAATTCAAAATACTAACCACAGCAACTTACAAAGCCATCCACAACACTGCCCCTAGCTACATCACCAACCTCATCTGCAGATATCATCCAAATCGCCTGCTCCGCTGCTCCCAAGATATCTTCCTCTCTAGCTCCCCCATCACCTCCTCCCACGCTCGCCTCCAGGACTTCTCCAGAGTCTCTCCCATGCTCTGGAACACCCTACCACAGCATGTCCAGTGAGCCCCCCACCCTGTCTGCCTTTAGGCGATCTTTGAAAACCTCACTTATTCAGGGAAACCTACCCCACCCCCACCTAAGAACTGTACTTGAATCACCTCCACCAGATCATCCCCCCCAGCTATCACCTTTTGTATCCCCTCCCCCTTCCTTCAGATTGTAAAGCTCCACGAGCCGGGCCCCCTCCTATTCCTTCTGTACTGAAATGTATTGTAATTGTACCGCCCCCCTTATATTGTACCTGCACAGACTGTTGGTGCCATAAATCCTGTATAATAATAATAAAACACATAGAAGACCCTGTAACACCCTATATTGGAGGAAGACTACGCCCAAAAAGAAGCCAATTATTAGTGACATCCAAATCTCAATTCAGTATTAGAGATGGATTACTGATAAGAACATCCAAAAATGGTGTCCAACAATGGGGAGTCCCCACTATATGTAGAGGACTCAGGTTACAACATCTCATTACACAGAGCATTGAGGTCGGCTTAAGTTGGAGACATCCTGTAAGGACGTTATTCCCCGGCACAGCTTGGTGTCATCTGCAAAGACTGGAATGGGGATTTATAATCTCACACCCCATATTGTTTATATATATATTAATAAGTAAGGGTCCCAACACTGAACCTTGGGGTACCCCACTAAATCACACTGAACCTTGGGGAACCCCACTAATAACACTGAACCTTGGGGTACCCCACTAATAACACTGAACCTTGGGGTACACCACTAATAACACTGAACCCTGGGGTACCCCACTAATAACACTGAACCTTGGGGTACCCCACTAATAACACTGACCCTTGGGGTACCCCACTAATAACACTGACCCTTGGGGTACCCCACTAATAACACTGAACCCTTGGGGTACCCCACTAATAACACTGAACCTTGGGTACCCCACCCCACTAATAACACTGAACCTTGGGGTACCCCCACTAATAACACTGAACCTTGGGGTACCCCACTAATAACACTGAACCCTGGGGTACTCACACTAATAACACTGAACCTTGGGGTACCCCACTAATAACACTGAACCTTGGGGTACCCCACTAATAACACTGAACCTTGGGGTACCCCACTAATAACACTGAACCTTGGGGTACACCACTAATAACACTGAAACTTGGGGTACCCCACTAATAACACTGAACCTTGGGGTACCCCACTAATAACACTGAACCTTGGGGTACCCCACTAATAACACTGAACCTTGGGGTACCCCACTAATAACCACTGAACCTTGGGGTACCCCACTGAATAACACCCTAGACCATTCCATCATTAACCACTACTCTGAATACCCCATCTTTTTAGCCAGTTTTCTATCCATTTTTAGCCCATAGACTTTACCTTACACATTACCCCGTGTGTGGGGAACTGTGTCCAAGTATACCACGTCCACCACCACCCCTCTCTCCAAGTATAGCCCACGTCCACTGCCATCCCCCCCTCTGTCCAAGTATACCACGTCCACCGCCACCCCTCTGTCCAAGTATACCACGTCCACCGCCACCCCTCTGTCCAAGTATACCACGTCCACCGCGCCACCCCTCTGTCCAAGTATACCACGTCCACCACCACCCCTCTGTCCAAGTATACCACATCCCACCACCACCCCTCTGTCCAAGTATACCACGTCCACTGCCACCCCTCTGTCCAAGTATACCACGTCCACCGCCACCCCTCTGTCCAAGTATACCACGTCCACCGCCACCCCTCTGTCCAAGTATACCACGTCCACCGCCCACCCCTCTGTCCAAGTATACCACCACGTCCACCGCCACCCCTCTCTGTCCAAGTATACCACGTCCACCGCCACCCCTCTGTCCAAGTATACCACGTCCACCGCCACCCCTCTGTCCAAGTATACCACGTCCACCTCCACCCCTCTGTCCAAGTATACCACGTCCACGCCACCCCTCTGTCCAAGTATACCACGTCCACACCACCACCCCTCTGTCCAAGTATACCACACCCTCTCCAAGTATACCGACACCCACCCCTCTGTCCAAGTATACCACGTCCACCGACACCCCCTCTGTGTCCAAGTATACCACGACCACCGCCACCCCTCTGTCCAAGTATACCACGTCCACTGCCACCCCTCTGTCCAAGTATATACCACGTCCACCGCCACCCTCTGTCCAAGTATACCACATCCACCGCCACCCCCCTCTGTCCAAGTATACCACGTCCACGTCCACCTCTCTGTATACCACGTCCACCGCCACCCCTCTAATTATACCACGACTACTATGCCACCCTTCTGTCCATTAAATACCCTAAAAATGAGAAACAATGGCTGTCCAATATACCACAGAGCTGAACTTCCTTTAAGGCCCCGTGGGTGTCTGCCAGCCGGTCCAGGGGCTTTATTCACCTTTATTCTGTCTAAATATTTCTGGATCATATCAATTGTGAATCAATGTGGATCATCTGGGGGGTGTCAGTACCACACCCCCATTATATGGACAAGAGCCCCCCCATGCTCCTTTGTATACACAGAGCTGAAGAAGGGATTTCATACATTGTCCTTCTCTTTGTCCCCAGTCACCCCCTCTAGATGGTTCTGTAAAGGGCCTACATGCTGGGACCGGACCTTTCTACTATTCATAGATTGGAGGAATGTTTTGGGGTCGTCCTGATATCTTTCTGTCGTTTGTTTTCAGTTTTTGCTCCTTTATTTCCTTTTTGCATATTCTGTTCTATTCTTTGTAATGTGTAAACGATGATCGCGTTCCTTCATTGTTATATTTAATAAAAGCTCTTTTCTTATTATCTATCGCTTTTGTAACTTTGGCCGTAAGCCACATAGGTTGGATTTGTAGCCTTTTATACTTGTTGCCCATGGGAATATATTTTGCAGTGTGGTCACATACAGTCTTTTTGAAGAACTCCCATTTCTGTGTTGTGTTCATCGATGCCAATATTCCTCCCAGTCTAAGTCTTGGAGAGCAGATCTCAGCCTTGGAAAATTAGCTCTCTTGAAATTGAGCGTTTTTATTTTTTCCATATGTGCTCGCTGTTTACAGCTAACAATAAATGAAATCATGTTATGGTCACTGCTACCCAGATGTTTTTTATATGGACATTCGTAATAAGCTCTGCATGGTTGGAGATGACCAGGTCCAGCAGAGCATCATTCCTAGTTGGGGCCTCAATGAACTGGATCATAAAATTGTCCTTTACTAGGTTTAAACATTATTGCCCTTTAACTGTTCCTGTAGAACCATTACTCGTCAATTTCTAGGCAGTTACCATCCCCCATTATTATCAGCCCTGTCCCAGCCCTTTCCATGTGTGGGAGGAGCTGAGTCTCCACCTCCTCATTAACACTGGGAGGCCTATAACAAACTCCAATGATGACCTTTGTAGTACCGCCCCCCATGTGCACTTCCACCCATAATACTTCAGCCTCATCACACTCTCCATCAACTAGGTCCTCTTTCACACTCGCTCTGAGATCACTTCTCACATAGAGACAGACACCACCACCTTTCCTATTTCCCCCGTCTCTCCGAAAGAGAACCTAGCCAGGAATATGAATGGCCCAGTCATGTGAGGAATGAAGCCAAGATTCAGCAATACCAATTCAATCCTAGTTCTCTTCATGCACCAAACCTTCCAACTCACCTATTGTGCTGGCACACTTCTGGCATTGGGGAACAAACACTTTCATTCACTGACACCTTGTTCATTCACCGACACCTTGTCCATTCACCGACACCTTGTTCATTCACTGACACCTTGTTCACATGGATTTTGTGTATTTTTTTTTTCATACAAATGGTACCAATTCCACTGGTTGTTTGTAACATGGAAACCTTCTTATCATCTGCCATAGCCCTCCCCCCATCTTTCCACATTCCACCCCCAACAAGTACTGACCCCTGTCTGATCTGTCTACCCCGTTATAATCAAATGTACCTCAGGACTTCCATCCTGAGGAACAAATACCCTCCAGCCTTCCATAAACCCCTCCCCCAGCACAGCAGACCCCCCCCATTTATGTGCCCCATCTCTAGTATATAGGCTGCACCCCAAAAAAGTCAACCTCAGTGCTCTAGGTCAGGACTCCATGTTTTATTCTTCTCCTGCCATCAATGGACCCGGACTTCATCCATGTCTTAAAAACATTTCCCTCACTCAGGACAGGAAAATGGCTTTCTCCCCGTGTGAGATCTCTGATGTCTGGAAAGATGGTAATTCTGCGAAAAACATTTCCTGCACTCAGGACAGAATACGGCTTCTCCCCGTGTGAGATCTCTGATGTGTGTTAAGACTGGACTTAGCTGAAAAACATTTCCCACACTCAGGACAGGAATATGGCTTTTTCCCCCGTGTGAGATCTCTGATGTTTGTTAAAGATTTGGACTTCACTGAAAAACATTTCCCCACACTCAGGACAGGAATACGGCTTTCCCCCGTGTGAGATCTCTGATGTTGTAAAGATGGGACTTTCTGAAAAACATTTCCCACACTCAGGACAAGAATACGGCTTCTCCCCGTGTGAGATCTCTCTGATGTGTGTAAAGATGGGACTTCACTGAAAAACATTTCCCACACTCAGGACAGGAATACGGCTTCTCCCCTGTGTGAGATCTTTGATGTGTACAAGATCTTGACTTCCTGTGAAAAACATTTCCCACACTCAGGACAGGAGATATGGCTTCTCCCCCGTGTGAGATCTTTATGCACATTAAGAGGATTTAGAACGGAAACCCTTCCCGCACTCAGTACAGGAGAAGCTCTTCCCTGTTGGAAGGCCGGCCCGCTCCCGCACAGTCTGAGGTTCCTCAGGATACGAGGAATCCGATGGTCCATCTACACTGGGTGGTGCCGGATGGACATTGGAGGGAGCCGGGGTTTTTCTCCTGGACTAGACTGTGTGATGTCCTCATCTTCTACTTTCCAGTCTGGAGACAAAGTGAGACAATCCTCGGAGGTTTTCCTCATCTCCCGGCCATGGACTAAAATACAAAGACAAAGAGGATTACTAGACAGGAGCTGATTGGTTCCCCCAAACCAGGACTCCGCCCACATCAGGCAGCTTGGTCTCTGAGGAGCTTACAATTCCACCCTCAAGGGAACTAGGAAATGGCTCCTCTGATCTCCTACCAGGTCATTTCTTTATTCATGGACCTTAGTCAGAGAGTGAGGAAACAACCAGAACTGTCTTTTATAGGAGGGACAGTGATGAGGGGATTATAGGACGAGGGTCCCCACCCCCTCTATCACTCATCGCCATCTTCCCAACACAAGAAGTACTGCACTTCCTTATTTAGTCCATGATTTAGTCATGAAGAACAGCGGGGCTGAGCCCCACCAGAGGTCAGAGAGTGAGGATGGGGGGAGAACAACCAAGATGAAGACTGGACTGATCCTGAAGACCACCATCATTGGGGTATTGACTCCTCCCTCATTATCACTTTCTGTTTAAGGGTCCAAAGTTGGAGGATGTTTTCACATTATTATCACCATGTAAAAGTCTGTGCTCCAATCACATCATCCGATATAAAATTTCCAGCTGGGAGGAAATGGGAGGAACAAAACACAATCCATATTGTGTGTATATATAGCAGTGGGGGAGGGGGGAGGCAGAAAACAGGACTATGGAATGTACAACATAGAGTATATAGTGCAGGGGTCAGGAGTATGTAATGTACAACACAGAGTATATAGTGCAGGGGTCAGGAGTATGTAATGTACAACATAGAGTATATAGTGCAGGGGTCAGGAGTATGTAATGTACAACATAGAGTATATAGTGCAGGGGTCAGGAGTATGTAATGTACAACATAGAGTATATAGTGCAGGGGTCAGGAGTATGTAATGTACAACATAGAGTATATAGTGCAGGGGTCAGGAGTATGTAATGTACAACATAGAGTATATAGTGCAGGGGTCAGGAAGATGTAATGTACAACATAGAGTATATAGTGCAGGGGTCAGGGAGTATGTAATGTACAACATGGAGTATATAGTGCAGGGGTCAGGAGTATGTAATGTACAAACAGAGTATATAGTGCAGGGGTCAGGAGTATGTAATGTACAACAGAGTATACAGTATAATGGTCAGGACTCATAATATTGGTATTCAGTAATCAGTGGAAGCTTAAATGTTTACTGTAGACAAGTTGCAGAGATCCCACACCGCTGCCTCCCATCTCCTGAGACTGCACTCAGTGACTTGGGTCTGAGACACTACAGACATATCCCTCCACCCGGCACAGCCAGCAGACCACAGAGCAAGGAACCCTGGGAGAAATGTTCTGTCAGAGATCTTGATAGACCCGGGCATGGGAAGAAGACTCAAAGCACACACCCCAGGTGTCTAGGTCTTGTAACACTTATGGTGAAAATGAACATTTTGCTGCCAGCTGAACCCCAGAACCTCCATAAATCCAGTCTAGAGACATAAATTGTGTCTGCAGCACAGAG